AGTACTTATCTGAAATGGAAAATAAAAATGCAGTCAAATAACATGCCTCAAATATGCATGCTTTGTGCCAGGCATGGTGTCACACGCCTGTAATCGCAGCACTCGGGCAGCTGAGGCAGGAGGATCAGGATCGTTGGGAGTTCAAGGCCAGCCTGGGCTACAAAGTGAGCTCAAGGCCAGCCTGAACTGCATAGTGAGACGCTGTCTCAAATAGACAAAAAAAAAAAAAAAAACAACTCATGTTTCTGCAGACCTGTTTTGTTTGCCTGACACTGACTACAGTTCTTTTAATGACAGAAATTTATTGCTTCAAAAGAATAAAGTGTCATAGTTCAGTAATGTCAGTCATCTAATATTATCCCAATATTATGTGCCTACACTTATGTATATAATACATATGTATTAGTTATCTGGTTTCTGCCTCACTTATTTTTTCTGCACACTGGTTTAGCCACCCAGAAAATGTCACTAGCATTTTATTTTGTAAATGCATTTTGTGCATTTCCATCAACCAACCCTTAAATTTCTGACTTTATAGTTCAAAAAACAAGCTTATGGATATACTGAAACAATCTCTTTAATCGGTAAAACAAATACAGATGGGTCCCTAACCCTCTGGTTCAACTCAGGATTCCCTGCTTTTACAACAGTGAAAAGCAATGCACATTCAGAAACTATAAATTGAATTTTGAGCCTTTCCTAAGCTAGCAATATGTGGTGCAATACTGATACTCTCTTAGGGCGCCAGGCAACAACTCCCAGTCAGTTTCATGATCATAAGGGAAAACAATCCAAACCACACCAGTGATGGCAAACCTTTAGAGACCAAGTGCCCAAACTGCAACCCAAGACCCACTTATTTATTGCAAAGTGCCAGCACTGCAATTAAACCTGAATACTGAGGTTTTGGTTTAGAAAAAACAACTGATACCCGATGCTCCGCTGCTGGGGTGATTCAGCTCTGTGCCCACCACAGCATCCATGCCATAGGTTACCTACACCACCACTGCTCTGGTGCACTATACTGCCATAATTTTGGGGGGTACTGAGTTTTCACACCCCATCATCTACAAAACACCCATCTATGTAGGCATGAGCTATTCAACACTTCATTATAAAATAGGCTATATGAGATAATTTTGCCAACCCGAGGCTAATACAGGTGTTCTGAGCACATTTAAGGTAGGTTAGGCTAAGCTACAATGTTAAGTAAGCCAGGTGTATTATTCTGCTGTTTTGGTTTTTTTTGCAGTGCTAAAGTTCAAGCCCCAGTACCTCAGGCTTGCTAGACAAATACTCTATGTCTGAGCTACCTCTCCTGCCCCTGAAATGTATGTTTAACTTCAATATTTTCAACTCAAGGATGAATCTATCTAGACATAATTCCATCAGAATTCAAGAAGCACCTGTACTTGAGAAGGCACCCAGCTGCTGAGGCAATATATACATGCACATTGTATACAAGCACAAATATGCATCATACACATTTTACTCCCTCCACAACAAAAGCTTACTTCATGTATATGTATACTTTAGATCCAGCCAGGATATCAAGTCTTCCCTTCTAGTTTTTAAAATTTTAATTGGCAAATAATCTCTTGTCCTAGATGACTATTTTAAACAAAGTAGTTTAACTTAGTTCCCTTCTCCTATCCTCTTTTTTTTTTTTTTTTTTAAGACAAGGTCTCACAATGTAGCCCAGGCTAGCCTCAAACTTGCAGCAATTCTCCTGCCTCTGCCTCCCGAGTGCTGGGATTACTGGCATGCGCCACCACGCCCGGCAAGCATTTTATTTTTGAAAGTCACTTAAAACAAGTTGTGAACTCAAAATATTTGAGAAGAAATTTAAGACGCAATGCAAGAATATACGCTCCACATTCTTTTTTCTTTTACTTTTTTAAATAAAAAAAATCAAACAAAATTTCATAATCATAGAAATATCTGAGAAGTAATAATCACAAACTCAGGGTGGAACTCAAGGCCAGCCTAAACTACCCAGCAAGACACTGCCTTTAAAAAAAAAAAAAAGCTCACTTGAAGGAAAAATATCTGCTATTACTAACTAGCCTAAATTACAGAGCACAATGCTAGCGAAAGCAAAAGAATAGAAGGGGAAAAAAAGAAAGAATACAGATGGGAGTGTAGCTCAGGGGCAGAGCATGTGCAAGGCACTGGATTCTATCTCTAGCATTAAAAGGAAAAGAAAAACACATCCAGAAAGGAAGGAAGAGAGAGAGAGAGAAGAAATAATACATAAATTATTTCAAAGGAGTAGTACAATAATTAGGACCATCAGCAGCATGACAGAAACAAAAGTAAAGCCGACATTCATTAATAATAGGGCTTCAGGACTGCTGCACTGAAAGGCATAATTCCATCCAAACAGTTAAAGATAAAAATTGAGTCCCACCCGTAGTCAACTTTAAAAAGCCTATTCTAACACTGTAACTCAAAGCATCATTGGTGTTTGTACTCTCCATCACAAAGTGAAGGAGAGTACAAACACCAATCTTCAGCCCCACCTTTCCACTGGCATTTGTAAATCATCAGAAGGGGAATTTTGTCACAGTTACACCTCTGGGAGGCTGGGAGGATGGAAGCAGCAGAGTACCAGCAATGAAGACATAAAAGATAGGGTTTATTTTATTCACCCCATCTCAGGCGAAAGCACTCAGGTAGAATTTTTCAGAGTACAGCATTCTATCATAGCAGACTTCAACCACCAGGTGGCACAATTTTAGTGACGAAAATGAAAACTAGTAAAAAGGGATAATAAGCATTCTAGTAACACTTCAGCAAATCTACAATTACATTGGGGAACCTGCATTTTAATGTCACTTGCTTTTTCTTTAGAAAGACTCTGTTACCGTGCGGTTACACGGGAAAGAAATTTACACTGATGGTGCCTACCTATAATCCCAGCCGAAAGAGGCTGAAGTAGGAGTACTGCCGTGACTTTGAGGCCAGCCTGGACTACATAGTGAGTTCAAGTCTAGCTTGAGCTACACAGCAAGACCCTGTCCCCCAAAAAATAAATAAATAAATAAAATAAGTAAAAAACAAGCCAAACCCAGAAAAGTCTTGTTCAGAGTCTAACGAATCTGTTCTCCAGAAAAAAAAAAAAAGCTAACAATGTTTTTTGAAATGTACCTTCAAAAAAAATAAGACGTTAACTTCTAAAAGCCTACATTTCAGAAATCCCTGCATTAAATTACTGTATCCCAATTTTTTCAAACTATGAACCACCCGCACTGCAGTAGAGAAGGCAGATACAGCAGGGCCCTGCCCACTCTGCCTACTTCTACTCATTACAGCCAAGTGACAAATCCCAACGGTCACACTCCTAGGGGCCAGGTCAAGCCAAGTCGGTACGGAGAGCAACAAGCTCTCGGAGAGCAGGAGGGCTGCGGGAAGGGGCCTTAACTACTCTGATTCCCACAAAGTAGCTCCTCCAGGAATGGGCCTCCTTCGTGGCTTTTCCTGGACAATCCCTTACCAGTACCTATTGTGTACTGGGTACTCTGCGAGGTCATGAATTTCAGAGAAGAAAAAGGAATCCGTACATGTGGAAGAACGCACAGGCTAGTGAGAGTATTTTAGTAAATGCACGTAGTAAATGCCCAATAAGTGCTCGCTGAATGATGAAGTGACGTTTATCAAAGTTTGAGAATTAGTTCACAACTCCACATGGTTTTTAAAAGAGGATAGAAAGAAGCTCATTTTAAATCAACTAAGCAGGGGCTGGGGATATAGCTCAGCGGCATAAGCGCCTGCCTGGCAAGCGCAAGGTCCTGAGTTCGATCCCTGGTACCGAAAAAAATCAATCGATCAATCAATCAACTAAGCAAGTGCACTGGCCTTAGGTGTGGGAGAGACAAAGGGGTCACAACAGAATTCCTTTGACAGCGCCAACTTTTACACATTTAGCGAGGGATCCGCTGAAGGCCCTACATAAAACATCTATTAGGAAAACCCTGCACGGAGACCTTCACAGCCAGCAGGAGGAATCGGAAGGTCTACACCCCTTGACAAGCAGCCCGACAGGGATCTCCGGGGATGACCGCGTTTCCGCTGCTAAGATCGCTCTAAAAGGCCCCATTTCCTACAAGCAAATTACTGGCTAAGTGACAGCAGTAATACAGTGCACTGCGCGGTCCTCGTGTCACACACGGTAAAGGCTTCACTTCTCACGCCCGACGCGATGCGCTCTACCCATTCCACGGAGGAGGCAGCCCCGGCGGGGGTGGAGAGGAGCCCGATCAAGGTCACGGGCCAGCGACGGGCGGGCGGGTTCCAACCGCGAGGGGCAACACCGGCCCCAGCCAACGCCGAGGGCGGAGAGCCCAGGCCGCACCCCCGGCACCCTTGCCAAGGGCCCAGCGGGCTCGCGGAGGGACCCAGGACCACCCGGGAGGCGCACGGGTTCTCCCGGCCCAGCCTCCGAGGCGCGGCAGGACCGGGCGCCGCGGGGGACGCGGGGGACGCGGGACCCCCAGCCTCCCGCACCCGCAGCGAGGCCCAGGAGGAAGCTGCTTCTCAGAGCCGCCCGGACACCCCGACTCACCGACGCTCGGCCACACCGGGAAGGCCGAAACCAGAGTCAGCTATGAAAAGTCCCACCCGCCGATCGGCAAAGTTTGACCCACCAGCCGCGCCACCCGGCAGGAAGCCAAAGCCGCGGCGCGCTTCCCCACGACCCGCCTCGGCCCGCCCCGCCGCCGCCGACTCCCCCACCGCCCGGGGGGCGCATGCGCCACCCGCCCTCGGTCGGCCCATTTTTCTGCACTGCGGGGGAAGCACAACGATCCAACGAGGATCGGCAGCGCCAAAGCAGCACACCGAACCCAAAGACAGGTTTAGTGACCCACCTGGCCTTCACTTACAAAAACTCTTCTCCTGACAAGACAGAAGCGGCGGCTCGCGAGTTTCCCTTCCGTTGTACCCCACCAAGGCGCCCCCTGTGCCCAGGTTGTAGTCCAAAGTCCTAGCCTGGTGGACGGAGCGTGTAGGCGGCAGGACATGCCATTGGTGGCTTTGAAGGCGCGTCGGCGGGAACAGGGCTGAGGAGACGGCTGTGGATATGGGCCGGTAAGACAGCCTCTAACGGCCTGAGATCGGTCTGCAAGGTGGTGAGAGCCTTGAAGAAGTCAGAGACCAGGTATCTGGGGCTGCTTTTCCACGGCTGCCCTGTGTCTTAAGGCGCAGGATTGGTGCTCAGTCTGGGGGTGGGGGACTGAGGCTGAGGTGGAAGAGGACGTTGAGTCCTTCCGTGACGTCACATCCGCCCATAGTGGGGCGGGGACTTAAACGTGGGGCGCGTGTCTGGGCTCCCATCAGCTGGGGTGTCGCATGAAGGGCGGGTTCTGCCGCGCAGAGTTGGGGTTTTGTTTTGATCTTTAGTTCCTTTTGGCTTCTGTTGTTTTTTATTCATGCAGGCTTTCGCATCCTTATGCCCCCTATTACTGCAGTGTATGTCTCCAGAAAGTTACTTAAAAGCCATTTGTCGTAGTTCGTTCAACAAATGAATTTTGAACATATGCTGTATGCCCAGCACTGTTACAAAGCACTAGAGGGGGAAAAGACTTAAAACCAAGTCACAAAGGGAAAGTTAGTTGCAGTTTTATTAAAGGGTTTTGAAACTGCTGGTAAGATTAAGTGCTGTCTTTTTACCAGGTATCTTTACGGCATTCTGGTGAACTTTACCCAAAATTGAGAATCGTGAAGTGCTCTTTGAAAATCTCGATCCTTCCTTACGTGCGCCTTCTCCCGAGTTTAGCTTGATGGCTCAGGAATATTCATTTCAACGAGCCTCCTAAGTATTCTTAATGGGGGAAGTGTTGGTTTGATATTTCACTGACTGTTGAACCCTAATCCTTCCCAGATTTTCTCTGACACTAACCAGCACACCTAAATTACAACAGGAAATAACCCATATGAGTACATAAGAAAGAACCTTCTAGGCAGGGGCAATTATCTGTATTATAGGAACTAAGAAGCCAATGTAGCTGGAGCTCAAAAGGCCAGGGGCAGGGAAGCAAGGGCCAGACAATGCAAGACCTTATGGATCATGATGAAGATTTTAACCTTAAGTGTAAGACAGGGTGCTTTTGTCTCTGGACAAGGCAACAAACGGAACTTCATTTTCATGGTCCTGATTATGTTCCTACAGTCATTTGTTTGTTTGTTTTCAGTGTTGGGGATCCAACCCAGAACAAAAGATATTTTGGACAAACAAAACTGAGGTGGTGGCTCTTTACTATTGGGAGATGTGTTAAAGGATAAAGAGATTACAGTAGTTCTCCCTCACTTGCAGTTTCACTTTCTGCAGTTCAGTTGCCCATGGTCAGCTGAAATATTACATGGTAAATTTGACACACAATTCATAAGTTTTAAATCAATCTCATTTCAATAGATTGTTATAATTATTGTATTATTAGTTGTTGTTCATCTCCTACTGTGTCTCCTCCTTCTGCCTTTGCCTCCGAGGGCTATCTTTTCAGTAGAGTAGCCAGATGGATTTTAGTAAAAACCTAAGTGACACCATATCCCATCTCTGTTCAACACCTTCAGAGTAAAAGCAACAATCCTGGCAGTGACCTCTGACCTCACTGCTTCTCCATCCCCACCTCACTGGAGGCTGCCTATTCCCTGCTCCTTGAAGGCCCAGGGCTCGGGGCTTTTGCCCTTGCACTTCCCCCTGCTTGGAAAATGTTTTGCACCCCTTGACTCCTCCAAGGATAACCTCAAACGTCACCTCCTTCAGGCCTAATTCTCTACCTCTACTGCCACATCACTCCCACTCTGCCTGACATTATTCCATTTTTCTCACTACATTTCTCCCTCTTATTTGGTGATTTTTTTTAAATGTCTCCTCACTAGAATGGCTGTTGCACAGAGCTTTGTCTTTTGGGATAAATATGTAACTATTCGCAAAACCCAGAATTACCTGGCATCCAGGTGCTCAATCACGGGTTACACGAATCAGTGAATGAAGATCAAAGTGCTCTAGTCAAGAAATGGCAGATAGCACTTGTCTCGGTCAGTCCATTTGGGGTTGCTAAAACAAAATACCTGAAACTGCATACCTATGAAAAATATATATAGAGAGATTTGTTTAGCTCACAGCTGGAGGGTTGAAAGTCCAACATCACGTGGCCGTGTGTGGTGGCCTCTGCTGAGGGATGCGTGGCTGTGGGGTAGAAGATGAGAGCTTCATGGCAATAGCACATGTGAGGTGCGCACGCACACGGAAGAAAGATCACATGGCTGGAGAGGAATCAAGACAGCAAGCGGGGAAAGCTGACCTCACTTCGTGATCCATTCTGGGTGACCTGACCCAGGGCCTTGAAAGACATTAATCCCTTCACAGGGCAGTGCCCTGGGGACCCACTCACCCGTACTGTCCCCACCTGTCAAAGATCTGTCACCTCTCTCATTCCCTTAGGGACCTAACTTCTAGCACATGAACCCTTAGGAGACAGACCTCATCCAAACCATAGGAGCACTAATTTTTTTTAATTCTCAAACATTTAAATACATGCATCAAAGAGAAAATAATTCAATCTTCATGCAGAAGCACTGTTAATAGTGTGGCTTAACAAAAGGGGAAGCATTTGGGTGTTTGCCCTCCAAATAAAATGCTGGCTGAAAATCTGAAAAATTCAGTTAGCTTAAGGCTCTCTGTTGGATAACTTCTTTGCTGTGCTCTCTGTTTTGTTCCAGCACCAGAGAGATGGATGAGATTCTGGCCGAGTTTATCAGGAGGACCATCTTAAAAATCCCCATGGCTAAAATGATGACAATCTTAAAAACCTGGGGGTTTTTGTCTGAAACCCAGTTGCAGACCCTAAACTTCAAGCAGAGAAAAGAATCTTTGGTTCAGGACTTGCTTCTGCTGTGTGAGGTAACAGTGTGCAAAATGAGTCTCGGGCCTGGGTCGCAGCTGACTGATAGAGCAACACACTACCCACTTGGGTTTTTCTTTCCAAAAGGTATTAAAAGGCAGCTGCTTACCTGTTTGGAAAGTGAAGAAACTAATATGAGTCAGGTCTTTTCAACTATAAGAAATGCTTAGCTGGGTGTGATGGTGCACGCTTATAATCCCAGCACCAGGAAGCTGAAGCAGGAGGATTGCTGTGAGTTCGGGGCCACCCTGCATTACATAGTGAGACCCTGTCTCCAACACACAGACACAAGAAATGCTTGTAAATCAGTAATACAAAAAATACCAAGAGAGGGGGAAAAAAAATTCGTACAAGTAAAATAATGACCCAGTGTTTTTTTAACCACCCTGTGACAAAAATGCAAAGATAATAACACTCAAATATGTTTGCAAAACTGTGAGAAAAGAAATACTCTTTCATGTGTATTGACTTACTGATTTGGTTTTCGTTACTTTAAAATAATTTCAGACTTTCAGAAAAGTTGCAAGTAGAGTACAAAGACTTCCCATATCCTGGTGTATCTTTCCCTCATTTGTTGTTGTTGTTTTGTTTTGAAACAGGGTCTCCCTATGTTCCAGGCTGGCGTGAAAATCACTATTTAGCCCACAATCCCTGGCTTTCCTCATTTTTTTTTGTTTGTTTGTTTGTTTTGTTTTGTTTTTTGTTTTTTTTCCGGTACCCGGAATCAAGCTCACGAACTTGCGCCTGCCAGGCAGGCGCTGTGCCGCTGAGCTAAATCCTCAGCCCCTCTCATTTGTTTTTAAATAAAAATACTTTTTGACCTAAAAAATCCTACTTCTGAAATTTACGCTGAAAAAATAACTTAGAATAAGAAGATATATATTACTAATATTAAATTTATAGTTACATATTTCACTTATGTAATATTTATGCATAACTAAATTAACTGAGCTTTGTTTTAAAAACAAAAAAAGTTGAGCCAGGTATGGTGGCACACAACTGTAACCCCAGCACTCGGGAGGCTGAGGCAGATTTGTTGCTAGTTTGACACCAGCCTGAGCTACAAAGTGAGCTCAAGCCCAGCCTGAATTATACAGCAAGACCCAGTCTCAAAAAATAATTTTTTTTAAAAAATACTGTATTATGCATGTAAATGTCCATGTGTAGAATGTCCAGTGTTCTCAGCGAGGACCATTGTGTGCCCCCAGGACAAATGGTAAGGTCTAGAGACGTTCTTGGTTTTCAGACTGAGCAAGTGGGGATGCTACTGGTTTCCACTGGGTAGAAGTCAGGGATGCTGCTTGACATCCAGGACTGGCCTCCCCAGCACAGAATTACCAAACCAAAACTTCAGGAGTGGCAGGCTCGGGAAGCCTGCTGTGGCTATCTGGAAGGACACGACCACTTTATTCATTATAGCTGGGCTAAGGAGCATGGCAGAGGGAAGAGAAGAATGTCACTTTTCACCATGGAATGGTCACACTGCTCCTAGGAATGCAGAATACTGCAGTCACTTTGGAAGTCAGCGTGGAATTTTCTTAAAAGTTAAAGTGTCATGCCTGTAATCCCAGCCCTCCGGAGGCTAAGACAGGAGGATCATTGTAAGTTCAAGGCCAGCCTGGGCTACAAAGTGAGCTCAAGGCCAGCCTGAACTGCATACCGAGACCCTGTCTCAAAAAGATGAAGAAGAAGAGTACAAAGTTCTGTCCACATTCAGAAATACTCTAGGAAACAAATCTGTAGTGACAAGAAGCAGGTCAGGGGTTGCCTCACAACCAAGGGTTGGGAGGGAGGGGCTGAGAAGAGGAGGGTGAGAAAGAGACACAAGACAATTTGGGGGCTCCAGTTCACCTGTTGACCGATGTAATCGTTTCATGAATGTACAGTAGTGCCTCGGTTCAGGAACTTAATGTGTTCCACAACTCTGGGGAAGATGGCTGAGGTCCTGTTCATCACCTGATGCAGTTTGCATATAGAAGCACAGTTGTGACCAACCGAGGTACTACTGTCTTCATAAGTCAAAACTTACAGGGCTGGGGATATAGCTCAGTGGTACAAGGGCCTGCCTGGCAAAGTGAAGGTCATGAGTTCGAGTCCCAGTACCCACATAAAAAAAAAACTTACAGATTGTAAGTTTATTTTGTTCTTTTCTGAGACAGGGTCTCACTATGCAGTTCAGGCTGGCCTTCAGCTCACTTTGTAGCCCAGGCAGGTCTTGAACTCGTAACAGTCCTCCTGCCTCAGCCTCCCTAGTGCTGGGATTACAGGTGTGCACCACCACGCCCGGCCAGATTATAAATTTAAATATGTACAGCTTAATGTATGTTCATTATACTTCAATAAAGCTGATTTTAAAAAAATGAAAAAGTGATAGACTAAATGCAGGGAGAAGGCTAGGTATGTGAATGGGGGGAAAAAAAACAAGTTATATCATGTACAGGTACAAATTCTCTATGATGATGCCAGGTATGGTAGTGCATAATGTAATTCCAGCACTTGGGAGGCTGAGGCAGGAATATAGCCATGACTTCAAATCCATCCTGGGCTACATAGTGAGTTCAAGGCCAGCCTGAACTACATAAAGAGACCCTGCCTAAAAAAAAAAAAAAAATTCTCTATGATGAATGTGATCGTTGTGTCTATCTAAAATGTACCAATAAAATCTGATAAAAATAAATAAATAAATTCAAAAAGAGCTTTGAGTACCTGGACTGAAAAAAAAAAAACAGAAATTCTATCTGTTGGGAGACCATGCCCTGGAGATGGGTTTGCAGTAAAGTACTGGGGGTATGCTTAAGTCTGTCCTAAGTAATGCTAAACTGTGCTAATTTCAAGGGCGTAGCACCAAATCTACCACGTTTCCTAAACAGTTTGTCCTTTCTTTCAGGAGAACTGTGCAAGTATCAACGATGTGGCCCTTTTAGACATCGTTTGTAAGTATTGGTGATTTCTTTTTACACTTAACCAGTTTCACTGCTTGTGGTTTCATACGAAAGAATGCAGGTTCTCGTAAGACTGCAGAGTCTAGAATCAGGGAAACGTGGTATCCAGTCTCTCACTGTCCCTTACCTGTCTTGTGCCCTTCACCAAACTGCACCACCACTACACCTCAGACTCTTTACTAAAGGGAGACAGAAGTAGTGCCTATTTCACAGGAGTGTTTGGAGAATTCAGTAAGACCGTGTCTGCAAAACTCTGAGCCCACTGCCTGGCACATCCTACACAGAAGATAAGTGTTTGTCGGAATGTATATTATTATAGAATTAGAAAATATAAGCCGGGCTTGGGGGCACACGCCTGTAGTCCCAGCACTCGGGAGGCTGAGGCAGGAGGAACGTTGCAAGTTCAAGACTAGCCTGGGCTGCAAAGTAAGCTCAAGGCCAGCCTAAACTGCATAGCAAGTCCCTGTCTCAAAAAGTCCAAAAAAAAAAAAAAAAAAGAGAGAGAATTAGAAAATATATTTCTGGAAATTTGTTTTTACAGTGTAGCATTTTTTCAAGATGAAGCATTTGTTTTTGTTTTGTTTTTTATTGAGCCGGTCGCACAGTATAGGGGCTAGGAACACAGACCCCGGACCGGGTCGGTTTCCTGGCTCCATGACTGCTTCTCCACGAGCCCTGGCGGAGGGCACTGGACATCTCCCGCCCCAGTATTTCCACTTGACAAAGTTGTGCAATAAGGACAGTATCACATAGGTTGTGGCGAGGATTAAATAAAAGCGCATGTTGAGTACTTAGAGCAAAGCCTGATGTAGTTACTAGTTGATGGTTATCATTACCTAGGAACTCCTCCGTGACATGCAAGTATACCCAAACCCACCTTTATTACTCTACATCCAAACCCACCTTTATTACTGTATACCCAAACCCACCTTTATTATAGTCGCACTTTGGCCCACCTGTGACACAGCTGCCTGGATTTATAGTACCGGCTTCTGCATTAGTCTCATCATCAGGAATTGGATCCCATCCACCTTAAAGGTGGACCTGTGTACATTTCCAGTTCTCATGCATTCATTCACATGTCCAGTCAGCACCTACTGTGTGCACCTGCTGTTGCCACATTCACTCACATGCTCAGTAAGCACTGTGTGCCACATCGTATGCTGGACAGAAGAGCAGAGGATGCATTATTAGATACACAGGTATATAAGCGCAGCACTTCCAAGGCCCAAGACAGACTGTTAAGTAATAAACGTTTCCTTTCTCAGATACACAAGTTCATCGGCACCAGAAAATGTGGGATGTTTTTCATATGAGTAAAGAAACAGGTAATATTTTCCATTTCAGATCGAACATTTGTATGTGATGTTTTGGGGCAGTGTAAAAATTAGCAGACGTGTGTGCTCTTTGGTTTCTTTGCACACGAGGCGGTGTTCCTGTCCCTGGCAGCGGCCCTCTGGCGGCACAGGCAGCACTGGTGTGCTCTCACCGCCTTTGCTCTGAGGCTGCATAAGTGCTCGCTCCGGGCTCTGGGCAGATCTGTCCGTTGAAGACACTGTTGCTCCCCTCATCTCTTTTTCTTCACCCTCTGACAGATGAAGATGTTGACATTTTTGATGTGGAAGAATTCAAAAGCTCATTTAAGAAAATTCTTCACAGAGCCTTAAAAAACGTAAGAATAAAATTCATCCAAACTTCCATGAAAATTCAGTGTAATGACTTCTGTACAGTTGACTTGTGCTACTGTTTGGGGGTAGTTTTTTGGTTTTTTGTTTGGTCTGTTTTTTGAGACAGTGTCTTGCTATATAGAAATTCAGTCAGTCGTATTCCACACTCCTACTCCCTGCCCAAGACGAGCCCTAAAAGCTCTAGGGTATGAATAAGGTTAGTAAAAATAAAACCTCTAAAGCTCCCCTCTCCTGCCCCATCCACTCAGACCTGGCTGCCCGTTCCCAGTGGAGCTCTGCGGTGACGCAGCCTCCTGTAGGCCATCCGGGGTACCAGCAAGGGCCCTTGTGGCAGCTGAGCACTGGGGATGTGGCTGGTGTGACAGCAGCCACCTTTCTAATCTTGTAACTTCCATGAGTCTCTGGTTCCTGGAGCAAGTGTGAGTAGTACCGCTGGCACTGCTCAGTGCAGCCCTGGAGCCCCATGGTTTTACAGGCCTTTCTGCTTATGTAACGGGTACTGAGGGCACCATGCAGAATGAGACCTCTTCTACAGCAGGCATGGTGGCACACCTGTAATCCCAGCACTCGGGAGGCTGAGGCAGGAGGATCGCCATGAGTTTGAGGCCAGCCTGGACTACGTAAACAAGTTCAAGGCCGGCCTGAACTACACAGCAAAAGTACTTAGAGCAAAGCCTGATGAGAGCACACCCTGTCTCAAAAAAAAAAAAAAAAAGAGGGAGAGAGACCTCTTCTGTTCCAGCCAGGGGATCCCCCAGGGCCAAGCTCCAAGCTGCTCACTAGGGAAGCCAGACAGCTCTGCACTCCATGAACCAGGCTGCGGAGAATGCCTGGTCTGCTACACCAAGGGAGTTTGGCAAAGCAGCCAGCGGCAAAGTGGGCGGTTTGTTCGCACCCGCAGCCTCGTAACAGCCTGCTTTTCCTGGCGTGGAAGGAGGAGGAGGATGTGAAGAGCGAAAAGGCCAGTGTACCTGGCTCCTGTTTCCCTGAGCAGAGTCAGAGCCCACGGAGGGCTGGTCTCTGGGGTAAGGTGACCAGCAAGGCTGTGAAATTCCAGATCGATTGCCGATCATGATTCCAAGTTTAGAAAGGACAGTGTTTATCCAGGAAAAGGAAAACAGGTAGAACCTCTAAATCCCGGTCATATGATGTTCCTTTAAGTAGACTTTAGCTGAGCCAATGTGTAAAACCATTAGGATTAGATATTGTGAGCCAATTACATAGAAATCTTACTATTAAACTTACAGTGCAGGGCAGGTCTATTAGGTGTGAAACAGTCCTCATAAAACACCTGCCATATCTCTCAGCTACTTGAGAGGCTACGGCAAGAGACTTACAGCTGCCAGGCGTGGTTGCGCATACCTGTAATCCCAGCATTCTCAGGAGGCTGAGTCAGGAGGATTGCTGCAAGTGCAAGGTCAACCTGAACTACATAGCAAGACCCTGTCTCAAAAAAGAAAAAAAAAGGGGCTGGGGATTTAGCTCAGTGGCACAGCACCTGCCCCACAAGTGCAAGCTCATGAGTTCAATTCCCAGTACCGGGGGGGAAAAAAAAATTGACAATAGCCTGGGCAACTTCACAAGACCCTGTCTCAAAAAATAAAAAGAGTTTTTTCTTTTAAACTGCTATCTCATTTGTAAAGTTATCTTCAAAAACTCGTGTATAGGTGAAAGAACACTATCTAGGACAAACCCAAGAAATTATTGAACAGTACTGGTGTCATATCTGATCATAGGGTTTTTTTAAGACTTTTTTCTTCCAAAAGACTTTGCAAGGCATCAAAGTGTGTTTACAAAAGAATCAGAAAAAGTCTGCCCACAATTCCTAAAACACTTGTTAAAAGTGGGAGACAATGCGGCTGGGTCTCGATATGCATGCAACCGCACAGTGGTACCAATAACACCTAGACAGTACCTGCAACTGGTGCCACGTGAGATTCAACAGAGAAACTGAAATCTGCTCTGCAGGTGACAGTGAGCTTCAGGGACACCGAGGAGAATGCAGTCTGGATCCGAATCGCCTGGGGGACTCAGCACAAAAAGCCCAACCAGTACAAACCTACGTACGTGGTGTATCACTCCCAGACGCCGTTCGCCTTCACCTCTTCCTCCAGGCTGAAGGGCACCGTACCCCTTCTGGGTCAGGTATGCAAGAAGCTGCTCCCCGGTCTCATATCCTGTTAACGCACATCTTACTGGGCTTGCGCGGTGAAAATAGTCAGTGTTTGCTGTAAAATACCGTGCGGAATTTTTGTTCTCCTAAACAAGGAGCAGAGATTGTTTATCTACAAGTGGTATTAATTCTGTGTTCTTCATCATTGTCTTTTAATCTAAAAGAATACATACTTCATGTAAAAAACAAAATGCAACCAACACAGAAGTCTCAAAAAAGTCTCTCAAATCCTCCCACCCATTTTCCCTTTCCCATTTAGCCCCTATTTGATATTTCTTTTCAAAACACATTTTATCACAAAAGCCAGGGTGGTACATATATAGGGTTGGTGATTTGCTTTTTTTACTGAACAGAGTGTGTCCCTATGGTTACATACAGTGCTTTGCCATGACTACGTAATCTGCCTATTAATGACCTTGATTGTCATTTCTAACCATTGTCGCCGCGTTCTATACACAAAAAGTCTGCTTTAGCATCTTTAAAGCGCTGTAGTCTTTGTCCAGAACCTGACTCTTTCTGCTCCCGCCTTCAGTACTGCAGGGCTCCCAGCATCTTTCTCCAGGGTGAGCCTCCTCCCTAAATGGGCCTGAGGCAAGAGGATCACAGAGTTTAAGGCCAGCCTGAGCCGTGTCTCCAAAAAAACAAAAAACAAAAAAAAGATTAATTTTTTTCTGGATTTCTTTCCACTCTTAAATGAAAATTACTCACTGATAACAGCTCCATTTTACCCTGACAAACGTGATGAGAAACAAATCAATGGTGACCCTAACAGCCATGCTAATTTCCACATCTAAGGCACTGACAGTCGCCAGCAAACACCATAAGATCGTGCAAATGGACCTGAGGAGCCGGCACCTGGACTCTCTCAAGGCAATCGTTTTCAAACAGTTCAACCAGGTAAGTCGGTCGGCAACCACCTTTCAAGTTGAAGCCATTGGAAAAGAGTTGGGGCCACTGAGCAGGTGGGGAGTCCCCTTCAGATGTCAGCGGAGTGGAGGGAGCTCTCGGTCCTTAACGTGAAACAGAATAACTCGCTATTGTCACTTCATACAAGTATTTATACTACTCTCTGGTTGTCGGAGTCTGTGTTATAGACCCCGGTTTCCAGATCATTTATTTCAATTAGAATTTATTTCCCCTTGAGAGTAACCTGACACTGTCTTTGGAAGCTAAATATATTATTCTGTTACACAAGAAAGAAACATAATTATTTTGTCCCAAGCAGGTGACATAAAGTGTTGAAATTACAAAGGAGAAAACATGGATTTATTAAGTCCCACAACGGATGTTCTAAAATGATCTGAATGCGTTGTTCCCTTTAATGACACGAACAGATCTGTCCTGGCAGGCTCAGGTTTTCTCCTCTGTGGCACCTGTCTGCACATGTGTTCATACTGTCAGTGGACGCTCACTGCTCTGTGTGTATCTTAAGTAGAAAGAAGTGATGGCTCTCTGAAAGTTGCTCTTTTTTGGGACGGTTAGTTAGCTGCTTGCTTGCGTGCATGCGTGCGTGCGTGCATGCTTGCTTGCTTGCTTGCTTTGAGAGAGGGTCACACTATGTAGCCCAGGCTGGCTTCAAATTCACAGGCACCCTCCTGACTTAGCCTCCTGAGTGCTGGAATGACAGGCGTGCACCACCACACCTGGCTTGCAAGTTGCTCTTTAAGGGAAAAAAATTATAAGGTTAAGAAGTTACATACTAATTTCCTCCCTTCATCTTCTATCACCCACCGTTCCCTTAAAAGTGGTACCCGATGTTCTGCTATCATATGCGGTTGGATTTGGGGGGAAGTTCACATTGTCAAACACTTACTTATAAAAGCAGTGGCTTCAGTGAGGAGAGGTGGGAGAAGGGTTTAAGAGATTCAGACTTATGGTAGGAAAATTATTTTTCCAAAAGGACTCTGTGTGAGGGCTTTAAGCATCACATTGCAGGTGCTGCCTGAGTCCTGTAGGCTGTGCACCGCAGCCTGCACCAGATCCAGTTTTAGGATAGCGAAGTAGAGGTCCCCAAACAAAAAGCCATGTCCCAGGCCCCCACAGTCTCTGTGAGCACTGTGTCCTTGGAGCAACGCTCAAGTAAGTTGAAGTGTGTCCTCAGAGCTTTTCATTGGAAAACGTAGTTAGCATGCCTTCCTGTGCTGAAACCAACTAATGTCTGCACTTCAAGGTGTTAACATTAGTGCAGCGTTCACTTTTTTGTTTTCTTTCTCCCCCTAGATCTTTGAAAATCACAACTCTACAACACCTCTTCAGGAAAGAACTCTTGGGCTAGATATAAACAGTACGTATACTTTAAGATAAAACTGAAATATGGCGGGCATGATGCCACATTCCCGTAATCCCAGCACTCGAGGCTAAGGCAGGAGAATTGCTGTGAATTCAAGGTCAGCCAGAACTGCGTAGCAAGACCCTATCTCAAAAAACAAAAAAGCTGAAATGTGGAAATGCATCATTTCCTCTCTTAATCTCTATTATTGAGTAAAACACCTATTTATAAAGGTCCTGATTCACAACTGTTTACAGTTTTCAGAAAAACTAAAAAGTCATACCTATTGGAGGACAGCCAAGCTACCTTAGGCCTCCTTTAGAATTTACTAGAATGATATCCAGTAGCAGTGACAGCAGAAGAACCAGCTGGTACTTGCTGAGCTGTTCTTGGGCCAGTCCCTACCCTCACATGTTTAGAGGTATTCTTCGCTCACTCTGCACAGCGGCCCATGAGCGAGTGCTGTTCGTTGGGAACCTGGGTTTCCAGGAAGCGTGGGACCTCCAGGTGCCGTCACACAGGCAGGAGGTGGCAAGGGCACAGGTGGCATCCAGTTGTGCCGGAGCATGGCGCTGCCCCCGCTGGTTCTAGGAGAGTCACGGTTGTGACTGTATTGTAACTCACAGAGGGCACACGTCCCCCCCTAGAAAGCCCAGAAGAACAGAGCATAGAACTACAGACATGGATCAGGTAGTTCAGAAGAGTCGTGAGGCACCATATAAACTTAGAAAAAACTAAAACCTTCATCTCTTCTAGCAGCAGTTAAGCAATAAAAAGAAATGGTACAGCTGTTACGCACGCAACACTTTTATGACTTTACAGTCGCGTGGGAACCACTGTGAATTTCATGCTCCTTCACCAGGACACAGAATTGTGTGTATCTGATAGTCCTAGTTTAAAAAACACATATATTTATGCATCTTCATTCTTACTTACTGTAAAAAGAGCTAGACAGAAATACATTAAAATGTTAACTGTGTTCATCTCTGGGTGGGAGAATTTGGAGGTGATTTTTATTGTCTTTTATAAGCCTGTAATTTTTACCTGTTCCATGTAATAAATTATTAATAATCAAGAGGAGGAACCACAAACATTTTAAGTTACACAAATGATAAGAAAGATGAAAAATGAGAAGGGATTCTGTAGGGATGAAGTAGATTCCTAATGGCGGTTTCATTGACATCTCCCACCCCCAGTGGACTCCAGGATCATTCATGAAAACACCGTAGAAAAAGAGAGGGTCCGAAGAGTAACTGAAGAGACATTCGGGGTCTGCCCTCAGCCTCAACTAGAATTTGCTCAGTACAAGGTAGGATGCTGCAGGTGACGGTACCTGTGAGTTAGCGGCTTTTTTAAAACAGAACAACAGCCTTCAGGGGAAAATGAGTCCTAAGAATCTGTTCCTTTTTCATTTATCACTTCCGTTTTATATAATAAATGTATAAGTTAACTAGACCTCTTTATTGAACGTTCCCCTGCCAGCAAAGGATGCCTTTGGAAAGTCTGCATTTGTCTTTTCATGGCCTCTTACATAGTAATCCAGTTATAAATAACTGACTGTGAGCTGTATATTGGGGGAGGAGGTTGTAGCTTACTACTTCCAGCACATCCACACCTAGAACAGTACGTGGCACCTAGTAGGTGCTTATTAATGCTTACTGGAGAGTGACTGAGTGAGACTTGTAATGTTGTACATGGTCTCATTGGCGTCGCATGGAGAGAAACCAGCAGCGCAGATACACTGATGTGGCTTGTCCCGGCAGTGTGCTGTTGCCCACCAGGAAGGCCAGTTGGGCTGCAGGTGTTCATGCAAGCCCCTTGCCACCATTTGAAGAACATGAAGTTTATATCATGCTCTCCCTAACCTGAGCCTTGTTCATACTTAGAATACCTTCCTACCCTCAAGTCTTCCGAACAAGTGTCTGTTTGGGCCTCCTACAGCTGCTTCTGCAGGACGCGCTTAAAATCTGCTGTGCATCTGTTACTTGGGCCCAGAGCCCATTGGGTTTGATTAGTTTCCAGTGAGAAAAGTTGATCAAAACCTTTCAAGTTGGGTTCTCTTAATAGCCGGTTTTAACGGAGCACCTTTAAACAACCCATAACCCAGGACACTGGTCCTCAGACTGCCAGAGTCCACATCACTTGGAATGTGTAAGACTTGTAGATTCTCGGTCCTGTCCCAGCTCTTCTGGGTCGGGAGGCGGGACCAGCGCCTGGCCCGCATGCTGATTCTGCCACCGGTTGGGGAAGACTGGATTCGCAGCACTTCCCTTGCACAGCTCTCAGCGTGGCTCTCTTTTGAGTCTGGGTGCACATGTTTCCTACATGCTACTAGTTTTTCCATACCTCTTCTATTTTGAAAATTCACACCTTTAGAAAATCGGCAAGACTATTACAGTGAACGTCCATTTCTTCTTTGCTTAATTCACCAGCTGTTAAATTTTGCCACAATTCATTTTGCTCTTTATTCTAAAGCACGTGAATTAGTTGCAGACATTATTCATCACCCAGATATTTCAGCGCATTGTCTAAATTTTAAGAATCATTTTAAATTTAAAAATAAAATTTGAGGCTGCATGTAGTGGTACACACCTGTAATCCCAGCACTCACGAGGCTGAAGCAGGAGGATTGCTGCAAGTTCAAGGCCAGCCTGGGCTACAAAAGTGAGTTTAGGACCAACCTGAACTACATAGTAAGATCCTGTCTCAAAAACAAAAATAAATAAATAAAATAAAATTTGAAGGGGAGAGAAAGGGGAAGTAAAAAGAATTAAGATGTGTTACATCCATGTACCAACTCCCCATGGTGAATGTAATCATTCTATACCACAAATATGAATTCGTAAAAATAAAAATTTAAAGAGATTGAAACAGAATCTCAGGGCTGAGTACCTACAAAAATGGCAGCCCTCCAATATTTGAATCCGTTAAGGAATTGTAATTAATCCTTTTAGTATGGTGATGGCATCAGGGTTCAGTTTTTTAGAGCGAGTCCTTTCAGGTCTCATTTAAATAAACACTGAGCCAGGTGTGGTAGCACACACCTGTAATCCCAGCACTTGGGAGGCTGAGACAGAGGATCGTTGCAAGTTCAGGACCAGCCTGGGCTACAAAGTGAACTCAAGGCCAGCATGAACTGCATAGCGAGACCTTGTCTCAAAAAAAGACAAAGAATAAAAATAAACACACACTGAAGGCTTTGCAGCTGCAATGCCAGTGTCTTGGATTTGCGTCAGCACAGCCCAGTGGGGTCTGCAGGAGGGGACGGGAGACTGGGTCACAGGGTGACACTGGACTGCCACCAGTTGGTAATTGACTCAGCTGGCTGATGTGCACCTGGGAGTCACACTGTGCTCCCTACTCCTGAACATGTTTTAAATCTTCCCTGGTAAGAAATTAAAAAGAACCCCACTGGTGACTCAAAGACATGGCACTGTCATACTGAAATGACAGATTACAAAAGATAGCGCTAACTTTCCTCCAAGAATGCAAACGGTAAAGGGCGCCTGGGGGCTGCACCAACACACATCTCCCTGGTGGCGGGCACTGCATAGGCTGGCATCTAGGTCCCTTTCGTGTGCTGGTTGCCCACTGTTTGCAGTGAGAAAATTAAATGGTCTCCACCTCTACTGATCCCTATTTTTCCTTATGAGAAGATGGAGCTGAATGCATAGCCTGATTTCATTACCTTCTGCTATTCCAGTGGATAACATCGAATAGTCACTGATAAATGTATTTGTTGATAGCTTGAAACGAAGTTCAAAGGTGACTTATGTGGGGGCGTCTTGGCCGAGAGAGAAGAGCCCCTCCGGTGCCTGATAAAGTTCTCCAGCCCGCATCTTTTGGAAGCACTGAAATCCTTAGCTCCAGCGGGTAAGTGGTCAGCTTACTTTACAAACTAGACAAGTACCAGCAGGCTGCATGGGCCTCACGGTTGCTCATCAATTACCTCCGCGCTTTCCTGTCGCACCCATTTTGCGTATCTGCTCCTGTACTGCGTGGGGGAGGGCTCCTGGTCTACCCTCTGATCTTGGCCGTTTTTAAATCCGTGATAAATCTTTGCCCCGTCATTATTTTAATTTTCTTCTGTTTTACATTTCAGGTATTGCAGATGCTCCACTTTCTCCATTGCTCACTTGCATACCCAACAAGGCGATGAATTATTTTAAAATTAGAGATAAATAAGATGTGTGTGGTTTTATAAGCCAGTGGCTCCTTGATTATCTGGCACATGCATTCCAGTTAGTGGTGAGCTGGAGAGCGTCTGTCTGTAAACTTGCTTTTTAGAAACGATCCTTGGTATTTAATTCAGAAACAGCCGTGTAATTATTGGGACTGTTTCCTCCTCCCTGTTCCACACCCCCACCCTTTCCTGATAAGTAGAGCAGTTGTGGGCATCTGAGGTGCCACAGGTATCTGTATGGCTCCGGGTTGCTCTCACGTCATGCGAATGGCACAGCGGCGGAGCCTGTGGGTGTGATGTCTGGTGGCGTTTTGCCTACTCCCACATCTGTGTGATCTTGGGAGGTCTGGTTCCAGTTGCTGGTTTCTGAGGATTTTCTGTTAAGCCTTGGATCACGGAAAGAAGCACCAAGAAGCTATACCCAACTCAGCACTCCTAGGTATTGGTCCATTCAGAGGGTGGGGGTGCGTCTGCTGAGTTGCTATTGCAGGAGGTTGCATATCTGATGATTCACTTACATAAAACAGTTGTGTCACTGTAAATATACTTTTCATAGTCTAATTTTTTTCATAGTCTAATTTTTTCATAGTCTAATTTATCACGTGACATTCACACTGACATACTAATTTGTGAATAATAAAGATACAATATTGAAAAACTAGCACATCAGTTACTTTACTTTTGATGAAAACCCTTCAGTGTGCTGGGTGTGGTGTCGCACACTTATAATCCTAGCACTCAAGGGGCTGAGGCAGGAGGATCACTGTGAGTTCAAGGCCAGCCTGACCTACATAGTGAGGCCCTGTCTCAAAAAGAAAATCCTTCAGTGCTTATCACTACATGGCATGTTCTTTTGTAACAGCTTAAAATCTATTCTCTATCTTGTCCCAGAGGGGATTTGGGGTTATAAAAACACATTGTTTAAAAATAAGGGCAACCTATTTGAGACCCCGCCTGTGTGTCAGGAGCTATTCCTATTCCCCATCCCCCCATTTCTAGTCCCCATTCCTTTTCTCCAATAAATTTTCCTCCTCTAAGGCATAATGGCACATGCCTATGATCCCAGCACTTGGAAGGCTGAGGCAGAAGGGTTGTCCAGAGTTCAAGGCCAGCCTGCACTGTACAACAAGACCCTGTCTCAAAAAAAAAAAAAATTCTTATAAAATTAAAAGGTAAAGAAAGCTGGGCAGATAAGAGTTCAGAATAAAGCTAGGGATAAGATTACTGCATAGGAATCTACATTTCTACATGTGCCTCTCCAATTGCTAGAAGATCAAAAAACTAGCATGGACTTTGCCAGTGGTCAAAGCAGAAAAGAAAACAGCAGTTGTGGATAAAGCTATTGTAAAAGTAGTATACCAGTTGCTTTTGATGAAAATCAGGAGTCCTACTGTACAGGATATATAACAGAAAGGGGGTGCTAAGTAATGCTAATACGGGCTGTGGGACATCATCCATAGAAGATTGTGTTTTTCAACTTACTCTAGAAATGTCACAGACAATTCTGTCTCTTATGAGACACTGAGTCTCTTGAAGCTGAAGGATGATTTCCTTTTTCTTTTTTTTTAGTTTATTGGGGGTTTTTTGTTTGTTTTTTTTGTTTTTGTTTTTGTTTTTTTTGGTACTGGAAATTAAACTCAGGACCTTACGCTTGCCAGGCAGGTGCTTGTGCCACTGAGCTATATCCCCAGCCCTCATGATTTCCTCTTGAGCAGGCATGGTTGCTGGCGTCTCTCTGTGTGCATTCTTCCCAGTGCCTGAATATCTGCATGAGATCTGCACAGCGGCCCCGCAGGTTCCTGGAATGATTTCCAGCGGCCTCACGGCGTTCCATGGTGTTTGGCAAGCCCGTGCACCTGGAGCCAAGTAAGAAAATACAAGGCATGTTGGGCTGCATCCGGTCACCCTCCCGTCAGAGGCTCTTGCTTAGAAAAGTGGGAGAACCTTGCCTCCCCAAGCCTTTATCTATCACGTCCTTTATGGTCACCTTCAGATGCACCTGAAGAACAGACAGATCAGTAACTGGACAGCCAAGGAGCTCGATAGCCAAAAGAATTACATCTCCACCAAGGCCTCCACAAATTGCAAGGTTGCCCAGTGATGACTGAGCACTTTACTGTGTACAAGCACTGTGCTACTGCATCTCACATGTTGCTTTCACAACAGTATTATAAGACAGGCAGCACTATTAATCTTATTTTACTTGAGTAATGAACAGGCAGGCAGACTCCACAGCCTGCACTCTATAAACAGTTGGCTAAACAATGTGCCCCTCTCAAATGGTCTGCATGATAATCCCTTATGGTTTGTGTCTGCATGTCCCCCCAAATCTTCATGCAGTCATGGAGCTGGCTTCTAGATTTTTGATTGATCCATAATCCAGTGCTGGGATTATGGGTGTGAGTGCTACACCTGCCCCGGGGGTGGGTAGTCTGCATACAATATAAGGGAGGGAAAGTTGGACGTTTTCACAAGATAATCTAGCTATCCCAGAGATGCATAGCAGCTGCCCCCTTCAGACAGGGTGTATTTCCAATTGCACTGCGGTCCTCAGCCAGCTGTGCCTGTTCAGGCATCAAGGTTTTGGGACCATGCACTGAGCTACGCTGTTTCCCGGACAACAGTGGAATTTCAGCCGGTAAAACAGGCAGGTAGCCAGGCTTCCATCCAACTGTTGCCTGAGCGCAGGTTTCCAAGAAAGTAGGGAAAGGATGGGTCCGCGGGACCAACACGCTTTACCTGTTGGCCTCCAGTTTCCGCACCCGCAGCCTCGCCCGGCTTGGGCGCCCCATGGCCGGCAGGGGTCGCACGGCGCCGGATGCTAATGAGCCCGGCGGCCCCGCCCCT